CGCGCTCGTCGACCTGGAGACGTGACGCGGACTGGATCGACGAGGACGGGTACGGGGACTGCCGTTATATGTACGTGCTGCCTGGACAGCGGGCTGGCCCGCCCCGACTTTGACATGTTTGGTTTGCGGATCGTTTACGTACGTGGTGGTACCGTTGCACGCGTGGCGTCCGGCTTGGTCGGTTTCCCATTCTGTGCTCGTTGGCTGGTCGCGCGAGGTGAGGGGCTTGATGGCTGTTGCAGCTTCGTGGGGTGGAATAGGGGCTTCGAAGCCGCAAGCTGGGATAACGCTTCCATCTGCTCACCGGTTGGAGGTGATCTGCGATCTTCATTATCGATGGATCTTGTTTCCATGCTCTTTGCCGGCGGCAGCCTCTCACTGCCAGCTGGGGTGAAACAGTACGTCATCGACATCTGTCTCCGATTTTGCTGCGGCGCCACCCATCTTCATCCATTTACGCGTGCATTATCGGCTCGCGTACACCGGCCATACCTTCGAATTGCACGAGCTCGGGTCAAACGCGGTCTGGTAATGACACCAGCTGGCTTGAACGCTTTCACCGCCGACTGAGCACCCCTCGCCATCCCCCGTGCGCGTACTATCAGTTACCATGACTTCTCATCGACCGCCGTGGAGTGTTCCCGTGGTTCATCGCAGAACAATAAACCGGTACAGCCGTTGATTCTCTTGCGTGCGATTCGCAGCTTGAAATCACTGACGTATAATGTATTTAATAGCCAATGAGATCATACTGAGTGACCGTTATTTAAATTATTTGCTCATATGGTGGCCAAACCACACTCGTGCGAGTGGCTGCCAGTGCGCGAATCAGAGCAGAAGTGGCCAGAGCTAGGCATTCGATTCAAGCTTGGGTATTACAAAATTCGACCAACTATTCGGATTCAGTGAATATACAAGGGTCGAAGTTAGCGTGTGGGCATTTAGAAACCTCGGATGCCAAATAAGAAAACGCAAGGAACGACGCCGACAAATGTTAACGCCTGCGTGGAAAGTTGCCCCACAGAGCGGACACCGGTCCCGGTCCCCGCGGCGGACGAGAAGAGGCTGCCGCAGTAGAGGCTATCGCGTTCATGAGTCTAACGGCCTGTCAGTGACCTGTCTCGGTGAGGACGTTGGCTGATTATCCAAGTTTCAGAGTTTCTGACCACGATCACGGCGCTACGGCGACTGGGGTCGGCCAGCCATTTCACAAATGCGTAGCGCCACGAAATTCAGCCTTCCTCGGGTATGACGTGGACGTCAGCCTCACTAGTGACGCCTGATAAAAGCCCTGCTACCTGTCACGCGGAGGGGCTCGGCGTGCCGGCTCCGCGCCAGAAGGGATTTGGACAATACGCCGCATCAATTACACGCCATTGCAAGGTAAGAAGGAAGCGACCGCGGAATAACACAAAATGGTGAGCCCGCTTTTCAGGCCACCACTCTTCGCCGATGTAATTACCGTGCTCGTGTCCGTTCGAGCCTCCTGAAAACATCGCCACATCGCCAGCGAGTGAACGGGAGCCAGCCACCACGACAGCGCGGCCCGTCCTGGAAGAGCGATGCTCGGACAAATGCCGCGGGACGTGTGGACGCCGGGAGGTGAAGACTGGCCGCGCCTCGTTCAACGAGTGCTCATTTGAAGTCTGCGGAGTCGGGAACCACGTTGGTAGCCTCGTTGGTACGCGTGACGACTAGCTGGATGAATTTAACCCCGAGGGGGCTATTTTCCAGGGAAATGCGGTAGCCATCCGCACCAGACCGGCGGTTACCATGGCGGCGCCACGAGGCTTGCGCTGGGATGTCCGTATATGATTGCTCTCTCCATCTGATAGCTGACAAAAAGCTAGCCCCATCCCCTCGTGCACGACGACGGACCGGAGGCCACGGCCCAGGTCTGGCACAACCCGCCAGCAGCCGATGAGCGCCGTCACGTTCCCGCGTCCGCGCCGGACGGCGACTCATAAACAGGGTCACGTTCGCAGGCGTGTATTGGGAGGTGGGACGTCACTCCATGAGCAGCAGCTGCTGCAGGCCGCGCTCGATGCTCTCGATCTCGGCGCGCAGCTGCACGCTCCGGTCGGCGTTGGCCGTCCGCACGTCCTCCGGCACCTTCGTGGCGTAGTCCGCCATCTCCGTCTGCGCCGTCAGCTTCTCCAGCGCGCCGGCCAACTGTGTCTGCTTCTTGCCCAGTCGCTCCCGCTCCTTCGCCGGGTCCACCAGACCCTGGCGGAGGGTCGGGGAGTCTGAGACACAGTCGGGAGCACACTGGACGTTCCACCGCCGCCCCGTGTGCGGTTCACTACTACCCAAGCAGTTTATCGCCCCCTAACCGAGCGGAGTGGGCTTCGTCAGAACTAACAAAACACGCTATAAAGTTGTGCAGTAACGCTCTCGGAACCCGCCCGGGATCCCAACAGAACAGCACCCGAGCCGAGCCCACCACTTTCCTGCCGACCCACGTCGCTCGCGTGGCCCGAGCTGAAGCCCGTACTTCTCCCTCCGCGCTGCTTACCTTGAGCAGCAGGTGCGCCTCACACTTGTCGGAGACGGTGCTGATGGCGCAGCCGGCCGGCGGCTCGGCGTTCACCTCGACGCGGCTCGAGTAGCTGAGCGTGGCGACGGCGGCGGCCAGCCGGCGCAGCACGGCCGCTGTCTCAGGCTCGGAGCAGCGCAGCACCAGGTGCGCGCGCGTCTTGTTCGGCAGGTTGTACTGGGCGCGCAGCGAGCGCACCGTGTGCACCACCCGCTGCGCCAGCTCCACCTCCGCCTCCAGCGCCGCGTGCCGGTACGGCGCCAGCTGCGGCACAAACACGGCCGGCGTCACGGCATCGCAGGGCTAGTGCGTCACACGGCGGACACGCGACGGCGGCAACGGCGCGACCCCACCGCACGGGTCGGGGCACGCTTGAGCAGGTGAAGACCGAAGCGACGGGAGCCCGGCGTGTGCCGTCCGTCAGGATGGTGAGTAGCGCGGCGCGCGGCCGACGTACGCAGAAGGCCCCGGCGCCGGCCGTAGCCCCCGCGACCCCGGCCCCTGACGTCTGCCCCCACCGCTGACCTGCTCCGGCTCCGGGTACGCGGTGACACAGATGCTAGGCGGGGCGTCGGGGCTGCGGCGCGGCAGCCGCTGGAACAGCTCCTCGGCGATGAACGGCATGAAGGGCGCGATGAGCCGGAGCGCCACTTCCAGGCAGGTGTAGAGCACCTGGCGCACGGCCGCCTGCCGGGCCGGCTCGCCGTCCGCGAACACCGGCTTGATCGACTCCTGCAGACCAGGCAACACGGACTCAGGAAGGCCTCGCGTCACCCGGACATCGCTCGATAGAGACGGACTCCTGCCGACCGGACGCGACGGACACGGGCCGCCTGCCGTGAGATGGACGACACGGGCTGAGTGCTGACTTGCGCAGCAGACGACACGGCCGAGGCCGGGCCCACACAGACCGGGCTGACCGCGGGCTGCCGCGAGCGACGTAACATGAGCTACGGACGAACTCGGGTGGGCAGGCAACAACGCACGACGACGAGTAGAGCAGAAATCAGTTCCAGTACATCACGTTCTGTCACCCAGCCAGCCGGCTCAGATGGCTGACTACATCACATAATCAAGGTCAGGTGCCGGGTATCTCAGATGTGGTACCAGACAGCAGCACACAAAATGAGGAGGCGGCCGTGTCACGGACCAGCAGCAGTCGGCACTCCTACTCAGGTTCGGACCGCACATCGGAAAGGCGGAATGGTAAAATTCGGAGCAATGCGGAAAGCGAACGACAACTGGAGAAGTCGTGACACTAAAATGCCATGGACAGGTGGGATAACCTACATATTCAGACATAATTCATGGCTTCAAAGGATCTATAAACTAGGTTTGTTTATGTCTACCAAGAACCAGCTGAAATCTTCTCCGTCACAGACAGTCAAAGCACTGCAATTATGTCTCGCTCGCACATATTTCGCTATGCCTACAAACGCGGAGCTATGATTAAAACACTCAAACTGAGGCACCATCGCCAGATAATCGCCACCAAAGGGCCCATGCTAAGCATAAAATTTTCCAGCATTGACAGCAGAATAAGAAAACTGGCAATACAAAAAATGGCACATGAATCCGAAGAGTGCTCTAACTTTCTGCTAGCTTGACTCGATACTGATTTCTCTGCGAGTCCAGTCCCTCAATGAATCTACAGTTCCGATGAGCACCGAGTTGCAACTGAAACCGAGTTGCAGTTGCAGCCTCTTCACAAGTACACCGGGCCTCGTGACTGTAACATCAGCCGCGGACTACATCAGCCAAGCATCCGCGGTCACCAGTTTCACACTCGGTGCAGACACCCGTGCGGCATCATAAGAGCACAGCGCGTGGCGGGACAACGCGGCCCCTCGCAGACCGCACGAGCACCCGCAGGCCGGCCGCTCACCAGGTACACGTCGCAGAGGTCGTACAGCCAGAAGTTGTAGCACGCAGTGGTGGCGGCCTGGAAGTCGTAGTTGACGAAGCCGGCGTCGCAGGCGTCGGTGGCGGCCGACAGCCGGGACAGGATCCATCGGTCCATCGGGTCCAGACCACCCGCCGACTCCTGCCGGCGCCAGGTCACGTCACACGCGGATCCTGCGATGGGGTATCCACGGGCTATCCAGACCCGGTCTCCAGCTGTTTCAGCTCAGGGTCAGGTCACGGGGGTGGCATCCAACTCAGAGACGACATACAGGTCACAGAGTAGCCCGGCCACTGACTGATATCACGGCATTCCCGGTGGCGAGAGAAACAGCGAGACCAGAGCCACCACGGCGAACAGCGAACAAGGAAAATCCAAGGACTGACAGAATGGAGTTCTGGTGATAAGCACAGAGCATGACCTTCAGCCTGAGACCAATATACCTTTCAAAAAGTCATCTACCATTCATATTTCACACACAGTTTCTAATTCATTCAGCATGAGCTTTTGTAGCGTGAGGCACAAGCGTGAAGAGTAAAACATGCAGTGGACGATACGGCATCCATGCAAGCCAGTGGACAAAAGCGGAACAAACGCACTCAAGTATCTTCATACTGAGTTAGTTGGGTGCTCTAAGACCGGTTTCGGCTACACCGGAGGACAGTTCGGTATTGCGCCTGTGTGAACAAAAAGCAACTGCCCCGGCTGCCGGGGTTTGCTAAGTGTATCTGCATTATGCTGCCAAAGTCTCCAGCTCCCGCTGCCTCTCGCTGACGCAGCAAACCATTCCGTGTCTAAGTGTACTGCGGCGCCTGTCGGATTCAAACGCCTCTCAAAGCAGCACAAATGTCTCGCACAACAGCGAGTGTTCCGGCTGACACTGTCACGTGTTGGCGACGTTTGCAGCCAGCCCAGCCCGCCAACAGCGCCACCGGCCGGCAAACGTGCAACACCAGCGTGCGGGAGCGGACAGTCCTCGCCACGCCGGCACCCAAGAGGAGCTGGTCCGGCAGGCGCTGACAGCCGAGGTTAGCGAGCTGGCGGGACCGGACAGCGGGGCACAGCCTACGCTCTGTCCCGCCTCACCTGGGCCGGCGGCCACGAGCCCCACTCATCGGCCAACGCCGTCACGTGGCGGCGCCACCGTCGCACCGGCTGGGCCAGCGTGGCGGCCGGCGCGGCAGCCAGCCGGCGGCAGAGCGCCGCGTCCGCCGCCGTCGGCCGCCAGCCGCCCACGTAGCTGTGCTCGGCGAGATGAGCGGCCAGCGCGGCCGGCGCCCAGTCGGCCGCCTGCAGCGCCGCGCGCCGCCGTCAGACGAGGCGGCGCGCGGACAGCGGGGCTGGGCTCGGGGCCCGGGCACCGGTCTGACACACCCCACCAGGAGCGTGTATCATTGGGGACACCCTCCCGGGGTATCCCCAATACCAACATGCGGGCCCGGTGAGGTACGGGCAAAGGTTTCGGTCGCATTCCAGAGCCCGGGAGGTAGAAGAGTTACGCTTCGGGGACGCGCTGAATCACCGAGATGATGATACACTTCAATCGTGATCGTGGCAGTCATGACTACCCGAAAACGATGGTAGGTTTTGGACTGAATGACACTACTTTCTACCATCCCAAGCACCCAAAGGCACCCATAGATTGGTACAAATTCGCAGTGGCGCCACACCGACACGCCTTCCACACAGTATATCCCGCAAAAACTCACCTCGCCTCACCTCACCCCACCAGTCACCGCACCTCACCTCGCCCCACCAGTCACGTCATCTCACCTGACCCCACCAGTCACATCATTCCACCTTGCCAGTCTCCCCACCAGTCATCTCACCTCACCTCAACCCACCCCATCAGTCACCCCACCTCATCTCACCTCACCGCACTCCACCAGTCACCGCGCACACACGCATGAGACGACTTAGCGTGCATGGCAGCGTGCTCACCCCGCCCCCCGCCGCCGGCATCTCCGCCGTCGGCTCGAACGCGTCGCCCAGGTACAGCATGGCGAACTTGGTGGCGTTCCACAGCTTGTTGCAGAAAAAGCGGTAGCCCTGCACGCGCAGCACGTCCAGGTTGATGTCGCGGCCTGGTGGCACAGGCCGCCGGTCAGGCAAGGTCGGCGACGCCTGCGCAGGCCAGCGCCGAGATGGCCACCGCCACAGAGAAACAACCAAACTGAGTCAGAAGTCGCAGAATGACGAATGCTGAGCACCCCTTCCCCCAAATGGGGTTTCTGCGAGAGAAGGATGGGGAGAGTATTCACCACACCACACGCTCCGTCCCAGTCCGGACGGGCTCAGTGGCTCCGGGATGCCGGGCGTCGCTTTTGAACGCGAGGTTCTGCATTCGAGACAGCTGACCAGCAGCTGTGTTTGGTATTCCCAACCCGGTCGGAGTAACAGTGACGCGCTACCGGCCACAGCTGTTATACGTGCTGTTAAGTGCTTCAATTGTCTCTATGCCTGGCATCAACGACAGTAAGTAATAACGACCATTGCATGAGAGAATACGCCCTCAGCCCGCCAGGCAGGATGCACATCCGCAGGTCAGACCATGCCAGCGGATCACGGGATTGCTGTCTGCCCCTTTAACGCGCACGTTCGATTCGAATCCCCTCCCCGCAGACCCCGGCCTCGCTCCCTGCGCGGCACTGCACCACTGGCGAGGGGGGGGGGGGGGGGCGCCACTGACCCTGCGTCGTGTAGGCGCAGAGCGCGAACCGCAGCGCATCCGTCCCGCACTCGGGTATGCCCTTCGGATAGTCCTCCTTCTGCCCCTGCATGGCCTTCTTGACCTCGGCAGGGTCCAGGTTGCTGTTGTGCAGCAGCTTGTGCAGGTCCTGTGACAGATGGCGAGAGTGGGTGTCACTGGAACTGACGCCGCCCACCACACGGCGCTTCCACCCCACCGCTCGCCGCCGCCTGAGCTCAGCTGAGGCACCGGGGCGTCACCTGACCCCGGGGCGTCTCCGGGCCCCGAGGCGCCTCCGGGCCCTCGCTGGCCGTGCCGCCCGCTCATAGACGTGACCCACCTCCAGCGAGATACCCCGGATGACGTCCAGCGGGTCGATCACGTTGCCCAGAGACTTGGACATCTTGCGACCGTGCGCGTCGCACACCATGGCGTGGAAGTACACTTCCCTGCGGAGGACCCATGACCACCGTCAGTCAGGACAGACACGCCGAGGCCACTCGGCATCAGTGCGCAGCACGGCACGCTCAACTGTGATGGGCCCGCTCCACCGAACAGGCATGGCCGGCGCAGCAGGGGGTATCTGGCAGAAGGGGCAATTGCCCCCTCTGCCAGCTTAGGAGACCCTGTTCAAAACTAAAAGCCCCCTGTTCGTAACTACGAGGCTCCCTCTATACATCAGGTAGCCCCTATTCTGGATCAGGAGGGCCCTCAACTGCGTCACAATGTGCCTTCCATGGAACAGGAGGACGCATTTGGGAAAAGCGAGCCTTTTTGTTGAGTGTGGAAGCTGAGTATTAATCGGGACTTTGTCCAGCGTTTTTTCAATCGTGTACATTTATTCAAAGGGACATCTATATATGCAATATATCTCAATGTAGATTATATACAGGAGCATTACATGTATTATTCTCACACCACCCACACACGCACGCACGCACGCACGCACGCACGCACGCACGCACGCACTATATATATATATATATATATATATATATATATATATATATATATATGCACATATATCTTATTATTTATGTGTAGGAGGCACGTGGCCTAGGTAAATGCCTGCTTCCAGCTCAAAACCCGTGGCAACGGTCCCCGAGACAGCTATCAAGAATACACCGGTAGCCCCAGAAGCACGATGGTCACAAAGCTGCTACCTCAGAAATGACCTATTGAAACGTCCGCAGCGTCCACGCACAGACTGCTGGCGGGCGCCGCCCTTTTGTAACGTTGCGTTGCATAACCACTGACCGACCACGGCATCCGCCATGGTCCACACGAGCAGAAGAAATCACTCACTTGAACGGCAGCTGGCCCATCAGCTTTCTGCCGAAGAAGACCATCCTGGCCACCCAGAAGAAGATGATGTCGTGGCCGGTCTCCAGCAGGGAGGTCGGGTAGAACCGCTTCAAGTCATCCGTCTGCCAGACAGGTGACGCGTGTTCGGGGCTACACTCACAGCGCTGGACGCGAGTCAAAACGAGAAGCCTGGCGGGTCGGAGCGTGAGGCGGTGAGCCGTGAGCTCGCCAGCCGCAACACGTAGGGAGTCCCGGGGCCGGGCCGGGCGGCGGACTGACCTGGTCCGGCCACCCGAACACGGAGAACGGGAACAGGGCCGAGCTGAACCAGGTGTCGAGCACGTCCGGGTCCTGGCGGAGCGAGACGACCTCGGGCGCCACCTGGAACCGGTCGGCAGCCTTCTGGCGCGCCTCGGCCTCGTCCCGGCCGCTCACCCAGTACCGGCCGTCCGTCTCCTGCAGCGGGGGAGGCCGTTCAGAGGATCACGCAACGTCAGCCGGGCATCTCTTCTGACACCGGCGCGGAGTTATAGAGCCATCGCATACCCATTCCTTGCATGTAGTGCTCCTGTTCCGCTGATGTTATGGCAGGTGGCCTTCTCGCAACACTTTCTCATTTGAGCTGTTAGGTGGCTTTCATAGAGCCTGTCTCAACTTGCTTCACTTTTCCTGCACTTACATGCCTTCACCAAAACTTGCACCACCGCTGCCTCCCGCCCCAGCCTGCTCGCACAGCACCGCGCCTTTCCATCAGCCGTGCCGGTGCCTCACCTCGCCCCGAGGCACGCTGTCGTCGCCGACGGTGACGAAGTAGGCCGGGATGCGGTGGCCCCACCACAGCTGGCGCGAGATGCACCAGTCCCGGATGCCCGACATCCAGTGGTACCAGGTCTTCTGGTACGTCTCCGGGATGATTCGCAGCTCGCCGGACTTGACCACCTCCATGGCGTCCGCCGCCATCTCGTCACACTTGACGTACCTGACGGTGCCGCCGATGACGTCACGTCCAGCGGGCACAGCGACGAGCAGGGACGCGGCAGGCGAGGGGATAGTTCAGCGACAGGCCGACTTACTGTGGCCTGATTTGGGCTCAGGGGTGCGTCAACAGCAAGGGCCATTCAACATGGTGTATTGGAGATTAGGAGAAGTACAGCGAATGCTGACGGGTTCATCCATATGCTTCCTCATCTAAGACTCAGCTACCATGCAAAAGAGAAATCAAAAGCTCAGCGGAAATGACCACCATCACGGCTTATCATCACACACAACAACCAGCATCAGCCACGCCCTATGGCTGATCAGCGTGATGCCGTGCCGGAGGCCGCCCCCCCCCCCCCCCTCCGTGGCACTGACCACTGGGGCTTGATAAGCGGCTCGATGATGTCCTTGGAGCGGGTGCAGATGGGCACCACCATTGGGTTGTCCTTGGTCTCCTTGTACAGTCCTTTCTCCTTGAGGGCTGCCAACACGGCGCGCCTGGCCTCGAATCGCGGCATCCCCTGCGAGCCGGACAGGGACGATCAGGGACGAACGGTCAGCAATATCGCTGGTAGGGGGGGGGGAGCGGTCAGCAGCACCGCTAGTAGGAGGGACGGCCGGCAGCACCGCTGGTAGGAGGGACGGTCAGCAGCGCCGCTGGTAGGGGGCGACGGTCAGCAGCACCGCAGGTAGGGGGACGGCCAGCAGCGCCGCTGGTAGGGGGGACGGCCAGCAGCACCGCTGGTAGGGAGGACGGTCAGCAGCGCCGCTGGTAGGGGGGACGCTCAGCAGCACCGCTGGTAGGGGGACGGTCAGCAGCGCCGCTGGTAGGGACGGGCGGTCAGCAGCACCGCTCACAGCTGGGGTCCGTCTCGCGCGCCACCCACGCACGGTACAGCGGCGCCAGCTGTCACTTTTCACACGAAGGGGAGGGGTCAACCAGCCAGGCAGGTGACATCTATCTGTCGATAACCGTAGCGGAGCCAACCAGGACCACAAGCAGATCACAATATCACTGGTGGGTCATTTTTATTTTTTTCATCAAGAATTCGATCGTTTCACGAAACGTTCAACTCCCTTGGCCATATAGAGTCGACATATATCACGCCCGTTAATGTGGAAACCCACAAAACACCCAGCAACCAGGCCCCAGCGTACGGCCTCCGCATACCGCCAAAGGCGAACATAACAATAAGCCGCGCGCTGCGCCGGCCGACAGCGCAACCTTCTGATCGCTGCGTTCGGTCTGCCTGGTGCATCGCTGTCACGCACCTGGCGACGCCGACAAACCACAGCTGCTGCCCATTACCCCGATCGCTCCACTTTCCGAGCCCAACACGGCGCGCCCCGACAACTCCAGCCCACGTCAGCTGCCGCCGACGCCGCCGCCGCGGCGCCACCCGTCACTCACAGAGAACTGGCCGCAGTCGTCGGCGATGCGGCCCTCGTCCGTCATCATGGTGATGAACGGCAGATTGTGCCGCTTGCCGACCTCGTAGTCGTTGGGGTCGTGCGCGGGCGTGATCTTCACTGCGCCCGTGCCGAACTCCATCTCGACGAACGTGTCGCACACGATCGGCAGCCGGCGCGGCAGGAACGGGTGCAGCACGAACTTGCCGTGCAGGTGCGTGTACCTGCAGGCGCAGAGCACACATACTGTGAGATCGGGCAGAGAGCAACGCATAGCGACAGCTGGTCCCATTGGCGTGGATGAGTTTTACACGGGATTTACGGAGATTATTACAAGCTGGCCGAATAAACCACCTAACATACATCTGAATGTTGTTCTTCAAATAAATGTGACACGCAGTCAAAAATCGGCATGTTTTGTAAATGGCGATCGGTGGCATCGCGCAAACATACACCGAAAGCGTTTTCCCCGAGCGTACAAACGCTCTGAAACGCTTCGGTTTTAGAGCAATCCCGCCAGGGCACCAAAGCGAGCCCGGCACCAGCAAGGGCTTACGGGCTCGCAGTACGACTTGGCATGAGGCGTGACATCCGTCTGATATTCACCTGAGGATACCAAACATCACATGCCACCTTCACCTACGGTTGAGAACTGACCTGAGACTACGACCCGTCCCGAACATTTGAGTAACACGCATGTCCCGCATAATTCTGAGCAGCCTAGACCACAAAACACAAACACACAAACACAAACATACCGCTTTGGAACATTGGGACCCGCAACATCATAAGACTTCAGCTCTTCCGACCAGGCCCGCTGTCCAGCAGCGTCCCGCCCCCGCCACTGCCGCGAAGCCCCAGCACGCCCCCTGGCGCCTGACCTGGGATCGTCCGGGTGTACGGCGACGGCCGTGTCGCCGAGCATGGTCTCCACGCGAGTGGTGGCCACCACCAGCTCGTCGCCGCTGCCGTCCACGCGGTAGGCGAACGAGACGAGCACGCCGAACTCCACCTTATCCTTGTAGCCGGGCACGGCGAGCAGGGTGCGGCCGGGCAGCTCGCGCTTCTCCACCTGGCGGCGACACGAGGCCAGCGCGAGTGAGGCGCGGTGGTGCGGTGCCAGCCAAATGCGGCTCGCACTCGGCACAGTATCCAAGGCATCACTCGAATACAGCACGGACACCATTCACACAAGGCGCAGGATACATACCGACCACGTATGGCACATAACGGCCAACTACGGTACACAACGACCAAGTACGGCACATGACGGCAAGGTACAGTCCAGGTGCACCACAACAAGCACGTGCCCAGCGTGGACATGGCGCAGATGTACAACGAACGCGGCATGGGCGTAGCACAGGCCCGGTGCGCACAGGGTCCGTGTCAGGTCCGTTCCGGGCACAGCACACTCCACGCACGCGGACAGCAAGCGGACACGAGCCAGGCCGGCCGCGTACCTCGATATCGGAGATGGCCGACTTGAGCGTGCAGGACCAGTTGACGAGTCGCAAGCTGCGGTAGATGACGCCCTCGTCGTGCAGGCGCACGAACGCCTCCTTGACGGCGCGCGCCAGCTTCGGGTCCATGGTGAAGCTGGCCCGGGACCAATCAAAGGACGAGCCGAGCCGACGCAGCTGCTCGTAGATGAGATCGCCCTTCCTGCGGAGACGCGAGCGCGATGGGAGGGGGGGGGGGGGGCGTCATACAGACCCATACGTCACATCCAGGACGGACGAGGCACACATCTGCGTCTTTTAGGTTGTGCATCGCGGGATACAGCAGGCCACGTTTACAGTAAACGTCCGAATGTTGGCGTATAAGGGGCATCGCTGTTCCAAACATGGTACCAGTAGTTATTTCTGCCTGATAATCAGTGCCTGTCAAACAGGAGCAGTGTCGGACATGAAGTGTTTTCCAATAAACAACGAAAATATGGCAGCAAACATGATTCAACACAAACTCTGTACAAGTGATACAGAGCCACCAACATCCATCATGCGCGCCGCTGCGCTGCTCGCCCGCCCGCCACTCACTCGTTCTTCCACTCCCAGACTTTCTCGACGAACTTCTCACGGCCGAGGTCGTGCCGCGTGAGCTTCTGCTCGCGCATCAGCCGCTTCTCCACCACCACCTGGGTGGCGATGCCGGCGTGGTCGCAGCCGGGCACCCAGAGCGCGCTGCGACCCTTCATGCGGTGCCTGCGGGCGACGGTAAATGGTGACCGGGCGGCTCGCGGCGGGGGAAACGCTTGCTGGGAAAGGCCCCTGTTGCAGGCTGGGAAAGGCTCCTGTTGCCTCCCCCACATTACTAAAGCAGTTGAGTATGGTTGGAGCATGCTGATGATGACTCCGAGTCAACAGGAGCCTTCTGCCTTATGACCAAACCAGCTGCTGCCTTATACTGACTGGGGAATCATTGCAAGGTGTTCAGTATCGTTCGATCGTTCGTCAACGCGCATCCGTTGGCTGATGCTGTATTTCGAGGTTTGGGCATCGGGCCAGGAAGAGGACATACGCTTCCTCTCCCTGGCGGCGCTCGCGAGACGACTGCCCCGTTACCGGGCGGCGCGGCCCCGCACAGGACACGACACATGTGGCGCAGTTTCCGGGCTGGCCGTAGGACCGGGGTCGCAGGGACAGTGAACTAAACAACACATAAACCTAAAGGGAAACTCGACAGGGGACCGAGAAATGGAGATAAAACAGAAGCTCGAGACGGGACAGCAGAGCCGACATTTCACAAAGAATGGGGAACCGTGTTAAGGCAGATTTGTATGGAACACATGTATGGCTGCAGGACGTTTTTTTTTCGACCACATGCGCGTCACAGGGTTGCAGCTCAGTCTCGCTACAGTCACGTCATATGCTGCAGCTCAGTCTCATTGCAGTCCCGCAGCACAAGCTGCAGCCCAGTCTCGCTGTGGTCTCCGCCACAGGGTGCAGCTCAGCCAAGCGCCAAGCAGCTAAGCCCCCCTCTCTCTCATCTCTCTACTCTCTCTCTCTCTCTCTCTCTCTCTCTCTCTCTCATCTCTCGCCCTAGTCCTCTAGAGGAGAAGGAGAAAGGGACCCTCTCCTTAGAGGATCCTGAATTCCTAGAGAGCCTAGTCTCGCTCTCAGAAGATGCCAAGCTCTCTACCTTCCGCTCTCTCGACCATGATCGATCTTCTAGATATCTCTCAGACTCTCTTTCTCTCTCTCTATCTCTCTCTCTATCTCCTTTATCTCTCTTTCTCTCTTTTCTCCTACCTCATCTTCTCCCTCTCTATCTCATCTTCTCTCTTTTCTCTCCTCTCTCTCCCTCTCTCTCTTTTTCTCTCTCTCTCTATAGCTCTCTCTCACCAGCGCGTGATGGCGTCCTCTACGGAGTTGGTGAGCGCGTGACCCAGGTGGAGATTGGCCGTGACGTTCGGTGGTGGAATCACCATCACGAACTGACCCTTGGGATTCTCCGTGCCCGGATCCCGCTGCGAAAAACCGTCGCATCCGTCACAAGGTGATGCTGATGCATTGGGCTTCACGGCTGCGCCGACTTCTCTGGTCATATGGCGCCCATCATCCATCACAGGATTACATGCAAGCGGCACGAGCAGGGGCCATATACCGACTGGCAGGGTGCGGCATGGTTAACATGGTGATAAACAGAGAGCAAGTGATGCAAACTAAGTGCTCCACATTCTGCCAAATGGGATCAGACTGTTGTGATGGCCTGATGTGTGATTTAGAAAGGGTCTTGCAGAGTTGCAGAATCATCATGCGCCAAAGCCAGGTACTGACATGTCACAATCACATGCTGCTGCAGTTCCCCCATACCATCCAGGTATGACATTATCACTTCAAGCACTCACCCATTCACATTCACTTCACGTCCCTCCTGACAGACGCCCAGCCCAGCCGTCCACTCACCCCGTAGTCGGGCGAGAAGAAGCCCTGCTTCTCCCACCAGCTGTACCAGGCCGCCTCCACATACTGTGGGCTGTAGGCGTCCGGCAGCGGGCGCGACGTATCCTTGCGCTCGCCAGCCGGCGTCGGCGCGTCGTATGACGTCACACCCTCCGGCCGCTCCGGCTTCTTGCGCTGCGGACGCGGCGGCGCTGGTCACTGGTGCATTTGCAGTCATTACTAGTACTGAACAGGCACAACATGCATGATTCACTGATCTCCTGATAGCCAAGTATTCTGGGACTTATGTGTGCTATCACCATTGTTTAGTAACCTGTCATGTTGGAAAATGGCATTGCATGATCAGGTTTTGTGATATCCTGTTACACATTACATCATTCATAAGCCAGTGCCGTGAAAGAAAGGCACTGTTCATATTTTCATACCTCAGTCTTTTCTCCTTTGTCCTTCTTCTCCTTTGCCTTGGAGGCTTTCTCAGACAACATATTTTGCTTCTGTTTCAGTTTATCCAATTTAGCCTGTTTTTTTGCCTCCTTCTCCAGCTGTTTTGCAGTTTTGGGTGGTCCATCACCCTCTGCTTCACCAGGAGCAGGAACATTGCTCTCTTTGGTATCAGCCATGATGGAATCTGAAGAATACCAAAGGAAAATGGCATGTAGTAACATAACATTTCTGCTGACAGTACAGGGTAATGCTGCAATAACAGCATCTAGGATCATATAAAACTCCCCTTTCTTGTTCTGCTTCACTTTCCAGCCTTTGACTTGTGCCTCTTCACACTCTGATTTTTTTAAACTTCTACCTTGCCAGGAATCAGCATCAACCAGCTCCATGTTAACATTTTTGTTTTTAGATTCAGTTATTTTTAGCGGTCATCATTACATGCTGCAAGGCCAGGAACCCACTTTGAAAAGAAGCAGCCTGAATAATGCAAATGACATCAAAATTTCAGCAAGAAAGTGCCTAAAGGGGGTCAAGTAAGCTCAGCATCACTAACCTGCACCAAAGCAGGTCATTTGCAGCCTTTTGCAGTCCTGCAAGGTCTTTGCTAACACTTTTGCAGGACTACAAAGGCTGTTCAGTTCTGCAATAAAAATATTGACAGACTGACCATATTTTCAAATGTCCTGTCCAATGTTTATAGAGTTCAAATCCCAGCACATCTACATTACTTAGCCAGCTGACATGAAAATGTCAGCTAGCAAACTGCCTAAAAGGGGCTAACTTGGCTCACTAGCACTGCATTGCAGTATCCCATGAATGTGAAACATTTTGCAGTCTTACATGGCAAAAAGATGACACAAAATGACTGATGAGTAGTTAAGCTAACTTGAGGGATGGGCTTTGGCTACAATGACAAGCTCTTTGCTCACTTAACTTTCAAAAATATCCATACCTCCCAGTGTTATAATCAAATGCATTTTAAAAATATATTTTTTATTGGATGTTACAATGTGATAAGACCACTCTATTGTGTGTTGCACAATAGCTAATGATTCCATGTCATACAATCAGGTAATTAACCTGACACAACTTGAACCACTGCATTTTAGGGAGCTTTCAAATTATGTGGGGCACAATACTCAAAGTATCAGGGGATACAACAAAACATTCTGAGCCATTGCTTCAAAAGTCATGGAGGACACCAGCACCCATCCCACAACACATGGCATGCATCAATGCAAGGGTTGACAGTTTCAGTGCAATGGTATTTCCATGCCAAATATTGCTTCTATGCATTTAATGTATGAGTCCAAACAGGTTTGTTCGTATTTAAAGCATCAGTTCACACATGCTTTTACCGCTCGGGAAAGTGCCCAGAAAAAACAGCTGGCCCCGTCGGACAGAAGGCCGTAGCCATATTTCTTAAACCCTCTGCTTCGAACCTGTAATACCTCACTGCACCTATGAGGATGAGCAGAAACACAGTGCGCTTGAATTTTCACAGCGTATGACAAAAAACCCCAATCAAGCAATGATGTAACATGCCCTCACGCTTTCACGTACCAACGCCGGTTCCTACGTCCCTGATGGCCGATATTCCCACATGCGGGCGGCGAAAATGAGCTGCTATAGCAGAACCGAAAGCGAAAACGGCCAGCTTTCGAAACTGCTGCGCCGTTTATGTAGGCAAAATGTTTCCGTTATTGGTTACCGTTATTGTTTTATAGCACATCGCATCTTAAATGCAGTTGTAAACACGTTCTCAAGTATTATGGTTGGATGTGAAGAAATCAATATTTGAGTCAAAATAGCGGCACTGAACGTACAATGTGCATCATATTTCAGTAGTTTGTTAGCACAATAAGAGATGACTCTGGCACCGGAGAATCCATGACAACTCATATTTGACGCCAATGTAACGTATGCGCCGCAAAGGTTCTCGCACGTGAGTGGCTGGCTGAGGATGTTGAATCCGTTGGCTATGTTTTGATGTGTTTTTAATGAATATTTTTCAGGGAAGGGACCCATTGTTCGTCCTGGTGGGTGCAACAAAAGCACCTGCGCGACAACCATTATATCGCAGTTGTCTTTCATTAGCGTGTTGTGAAAATGTTAGCATGAACGCTTTCATACTGATACCTTCCGCAAGAGGGCGCATCTTAGATGCGACATCCTTTCACGTTTTCAAATTGAGTGGCCGTGAAAAATGGTTTCTTGCACATGTGCATCATAAAATGGGCTGCTAGCGATTGCAAATGATTGCTTTATATGCTGTCTGAAGCACCTTGTGGGCAGTATGACTCATCCCCCTACCAACTAAGTGTGAAAATGAAATGGGATAGGATGTAGTTGACAGTTGATGGTACATTCCAGCATAAATATGATAGGAGTATAAAGTTTGTGTAGAACTGTTGTCTGACTTTGGAAATTTCATGTTATACAAATGTTTAATTGTCAATGCAAGAACCACAAAAACACTATAGAATGATAAACAGGTATGTTTGGTAACACAATACTATTGACATTATTTCATGTTCACTGGTGATGGGGCAGAATCAAAATTAGGAACTCTTACACATTTTATCTGAATGGTTTGCATGGATGGCTTTGGGTTCAGAGTGCCCACTGAGCATAGCTTGTATGTAACATGAGCCCAATACCCAAGTTGTGCCATCCAGTTCAATAGATGAATTTGCCTCAGCCCTTTAGCCAAACAGTAATGTGGAGAGTTGTAAGTGCTGCATAATGCTGTGGTGTGGCCACCTTGGGCCTGGCCAGTTGGCCTTGTTGTGGCCCTTGTTGGCCAGTTGCCAGCAGACTTTTCCATTTCAGTTGGAGCTAAACCATGTGTACCAGTTCTGGGACTTATACCCAATGCTGCTTGATTACAATCCAGCAGCTTTTCTTTATTCCACAGGGAAGTCTCAGTCTGAACAGTTCTGTGTTTCCTGTTTCAGTCTGAAACAGGGAACTGTTAAGGCTAGCAACAGTCCATGTTTCTCATGTCACATCAGAAATTCTGCATTCTCTTGATAATACACTTTTGGTCATGTTGTGAGAACTGAATTACACCTAGGTATCCTAGTATGATTTTACAGGAATATGACATTTATGTTAAGTATGCTATTTTTGTGATATTGCTGGAGACAAATAAATTTTGGCTCTTAGTCACAGTGTATGGGATTGCTTGTGACTCATTCTCAAACATATGACATTGATTTTGTTTCTGACTCAAACATGTTTAGTACATCACCAATGTGGGTTGACAATGTGACCTAATGTGGTACAGCTGAATGCAGGGATCAACCCCAATGCATATGATCCTGGTGGCTAACTTAATTATTTGGTATGCATGTAAACTGTTACACATATATTTGAATCAATTCACTGCCAGCTTGGTAATTGGTTGTCTCAACTCTGAATCACGGGATGATAGAAAAGGGATCAATTCCATCCCAGCACAATGAGGCTGTGGATGGTTACAATGTGAATTATTTCACCAACTGGAGTTGAGCTCCAAGCATGCAGTTTGTGGGCAACACCTGGCCAGAAATATCATAGAACATAGACTTCAAACCCAGAGTTAGCAGTGCTAAATTCCATGTTGGTGCACACAGCTTGCCATATAGATAGCACTGTCGCAATGGTATGACTTGTGGCATTACAGTACTCTTGGCTGTAGTGATCTTTGCAGACCAATGGAGCTTCAGTGCACCACAAGCCTGTCTGGCATGACAGCACTGACATTTAAGAAGGCAGGATGTTCAAAGAATGTTTGCCATGTTCTTTGCTTTAATGCCCTGGTATGTGTTTCCAGATGAGGCTGCAGTTGGTTCCTGCATGAGCATGGCCAGCCCATCCAACAGCAGCATGGTACAGACATCGTCCTGCGACGGTCCTCAGGCGGCGCCTGTCCCGATCGATGCGGCGCCCCTCTGGAACCGGCGCCACCTGGCGGCGCCACCGGAGCTGACGCTGCCCTATACGGCGGCCGAGCTGGCGCCGGCGGCTGCGCTCTGCGGCGCGCTGCCGCGCCAGCTGGGGCCGCAGCTGACACGCGGCCTGCACGAGCTGCGCAACGAGCTGCACCTGCTGCGCTCCGTCGCGTACCGAGTCGGCAACCAGTTCTCCAACAGCCGGGCGTTCGGCGCCTTGCGTGCCGTGACCGCGTGCGGCCGCCGGCTGCGCGACCTGCCTACGCCCGACTGGTGGGCCGCGCGGCTGGAGGCGCTGGCGCGACCGCATCGCGGGGCCGGTTGCGCGCTGCTGCCGACGCGTCAGCTGACGCAGCACCTGCTGGTCAGCTGTCAGCGGGCGGGCCTGCTGCTGGGGCGGCTGGCGGCGCTGGCCGAGCACGCTGCCCGCCTCTGGCTGCAGTGGCTGCGGTTGGGGCACCAGGCGCCGCTGGCCGTGTCCTTCGTCGGCCTGCTGGGCCGCGTGTGGACCTGCAGCCGCATCGGCCGCGGTCGCCTCTGTCGGCTGTACGCGGCCGTGCTGCCGCTGCTGCCGGCGCTGCGGGAGGCGGGCGCGCCTTGGCCGCACGAACCGCTGCCCGCCTGCCTGTGGGCCTGGCTCGGCCTCGAGCCGGAGGAGGCAGAAGAGGAGGAGCCGGCCGGGCTGCCGGCGGGACCGCTGCGCGTCGCCCGGCGGCACGACGAGCTTCCCTTCGAGGATCAGAAGCGTGAGATCACCGTGAGTCTGCTCACGACCAGCGGCGGCGGTGGCGGTGGTACCGGCGGCGGCTGTCTTGAGCGCACGTTCGGTTCTGGCCCTGCCGACCATGAGATGAATGGGTCTGACACTGTGGTGGAGTTCTCCGGCTCAGCTCCAGAGGATTCGGGCGAATTTGCGCATAACGGTGATCGTTCAGTCTCCATACGGAATGTGGGTGAAGCAGAGTGTTTAGGGGTTATCGTAGAGGATGCTTCTGTAGAAGATTTTGGTGAACCAGTGTCTGTGGAAGATGTGGGAGAACCATATGTGGAGGAGGATTTTGGAAAACGAACGTCTGAGATGGATCTGACAGAATCGATGTCGATAGAGGGCCAGGGAGAACGATATTATGGGGTGTTAGAGTCATTGGGTTCGGTGAAACCAGTGAATCTAGCAGTGCAGAGCTCGTCGCGGACATCATCGCGCGACCGAAAGCTGTACAAGAGGGTGAACAAGCTGACCCAGCTATGGAAGAGCCAGGAGGACGTCGCCAGTTTCGTGCGTGCAGAAAACCAGGCGAGGCGACAGGCGCGGAGGCGGTGCGTCACTGCTCGCCTCAGGAACAACCAGTGGAAGCTGGTGAAGCAGAGTCTCAAGCAAAACCGTGTCATATGGAGGAAACGGGAGAAGCGCGGTGACGAAGCTGGCGTGGAAAAAGTGGCCAGGCGCACCCGACTGCTTGTGAAAGTGTGGTCACTTTTTCCGAACTCGCAGGGACGAAAGCCCAATGACTGGGCGTTGTTTCTTCAGAGCGTCAAAAATAAATCGCCATTGTCGTAGACGTGATAATACTTGCTATAGAATTTCGTCGCATCCAGACGCCAACCGTGGGAGAGCATGGATCGTGAGTGTGGCGCCATTTCTCAAGCCCGGAAATCCCCTGGAGGGACAATTTTTTCCAAGGTGCAATGGTGTGGACGTGGCAACTGGGGCTAATTGGGGACAGCCATAGGTCATATCACGCATCATAGGTCGTAGATTTCGCAACCGCCATGCCATTCGACGATGGTTAACATCTGTTGGGTTAGCGTACGTGACAGCGCATCTGGGCCTCTGTTGCTGCGAGGCTCACCCCATGGTGGCACAGGCACGTGAACGATATGGAGGATTGGGGCGAGAGGCATCTACTGAAAAATAACCTGATCCATACCCCAAACCCAATTTCTCATTGTCTTTGTGTTGCTCTGCCTCATTGGTTTTGAAATATTATCATCCTTTAACAATAGCTTTGTTTCATCCTTACGTCCACGGGTTCAAAACGTGGGTAGGGTTCGAATGCATCGAGATCTTTCCTCATCCAAGTGCCCGGCCGCCCCCAGTCCTCCGCCAGATGGGAAAAACGTGAAAAACGCACATTCTTCAGGCAACCACCCCCTCCCAAGTCCATCACGCTGCCGCAATTGACCCATTAAAGGCTTGTAGATCAATGCCGCCACTACCCGTGGCGGTCGAGGAGCCGGAAGCGCGGCGTCATGTAGGGTGACCGGCTTGCGAGGACAGCCTCGTGAGGTGTCGGGGGAAACACATCATCATTTCTACTTCTTACATAGTGAGCCCTACACATTTCATTTCTGGCGCATCAGAGACGGTCAAATTTTAGCCTCTTGCGGTACCGACTGCCGCGGCCAGCCCAGTCCGCAAAACTGGTGCCTTCAGTAGAACGCAGCTGGTTGGCCGCGTGGCAAGATAATCGGATTGGCGGATTAGTTCACGTGATGAGCGTTTAAGTGCTTTATCTGTTGACCGTTGCTCTCAATCAGGTCTGGGCTGACGTGCCTACAAGTTGTGGTTTAAAGAAGACGTGCATCGACAGAAGTGCCTACGCGTCCGCAGCAGGCATCCGCAGAGACCGGCATTATGCCTTGGCGATCATGAAACAAGTGTGACTCTTGGACAGGGGAAGGCACCTTTAAAAGTGAAGAGTAAAAGGCTTTGATCAGTATCTGTCTACACACCAAAGCTTATCCTTTCCTGTATTATAAGCTCACATGAAATTGCTGTACCTATATCTTGTGGGCCTCCAAAATTGACTCACATCTACTTGGCAACTCATTTTTGAAGCTCCATCCTGAACCTGCACCACAAAATGGGCAACCAGCCTAAGGCTGTTGATGATCTCATTCAAGCATTATCATACCATAACCTCCGTCCTGTAATCCTTCATGGCTACGCTCTGCCTTTCATTACTCTCTATCTTACTTGGATCTACATCTGGGTCTTTGTCCGTGGATTTGAAGAGCACTATGAAGTTGGACTGATTGGCATTGCGGTGATAGGGTTTGTTCAGATTCTCACAAGCTTGTTTTGCTTGTGGTCAGTATCTGTGAAAGTTATCCTAACCACTTCTCTGGTAAGTATTCAGTGCTCTTCTTCAGATGTTTGGTTGTTGAGTAGTTGGGTTATCATGAAGGTTAGGTCAATATAATTGTTTGTTCCATATTGTTGGTTGCTGAGTAGTTGAGGTGTGGTGAAGGTTAGACCAATGTAATTTAAGTGATTTGGAGAGAAACATGTCAAATCAACATATTGCCACCATTCTTTCAGCTGGTCACTAAATGTTTACATAGATTTCACAGCAGAGGTATCAGAGGTCTCTTTTAAGGAACATGATTAATTCATTTGTGGAATTATCAGGTCCCTGTCACATCTGTTGTCTACAAAGCTCAAGCTTGTATAAGCCTTCTCTAATCTCACACCATAGTTCACTGTGCTGAAATCTGTCTTGCAGGTCAAATGCCCCACAAAAGCTGCATATGTTAAGGTTGTTCCTACTCCAAACAATGGGTCATCAGAACTTATCAGCCTACATCACCAGAAGGATGCAAATGGAGCTGAGGTCATCTGGTTCAGGTTTCAGAAGGCCAAGTACTTCTGGGATGACAACAAAAAACAGTTTCGGGTATGTGCACCAGTTTAGGATTGATAGTTTATGAATTTGGGTATGCTATGATATCTTACTCTTTATAGGTTAAGTATTTTGGTATCCAGGATATTTTGTATGCTTGACCAATCAGGTGCCATGTGTTGTAACTTGCATGGGTATTAATCTCAGTATTGCTCTGAAAGAGGCTCAGTAAATGCAGATCCTTATGCCATTGTGCAAAAATCTGGCATATTTTGCTTTAGCAATGTAATTGCTGTAGGGCTGTGTAGTTCACCAGCCTTCTGCATTGGTACTTTTCTCCTGGTGTAGGACTATCACTCATAGCCAAAATCTGATGGCTAAGTGACTGTTCCAGGCTGTGGAGTTCCCAGTCCATAACACTCTGGCATGGTACAATGCATGGAGGGGCTATGAAGATGAGGAGCAGCTCAAAAGAGCCGAGTGGACTTATGGAACGAACATGTGAGTAAAACCTTGCTGCCAGGCTTTGGAGTGGAGCAGGTGTCAGTGTGCTGGAGCAGGTGTTAGTGAACTGGGTCAGGTGTCAGTGAACTGGAGCAGGTGTCAATGAACTGGAGCAGGTGTTGGTAAACTGGAGCAGGTGCTAGTGAATTGGAGCAAGAGCCTGTGAATTGAGTCAGGAGTCAGTGAACTGGAGCAGGTGTCAGTGAACTAGAGCAGGTGTATGTGAAGTAAGGTTAAAGAGGCTATTTGGCATCTTGTCGTATTATCTGTGAGCATCTTTGTTTGGCCTGCAATAGCAGCCATACTGAGTGAGATAGCTTCTTGGAACATTCATCACCCTCAAATGAATGTGTGTGTCATTTTGTGTACAAATGGGATTTGAGGATCATTTTACAAGGTGCCACAACTTCCATATGTGCCATTTTTGCATTGGGAATGTCATCATGATTTATGGAGTGCCATCCATTAGAAAATAGAAAAAGGTCAGTAGAGGTGTAGTAAATTAACTTCTTCCCATATGACCTCAAGTAAGGTCCTCCATTTCTTGAGACTAGTTTTTGGGTAATCCTAATGTTGTCTTGTAATCCAAGCTCTTCACAACATGTTATACCTCAAACAAAATGATGAGATCACTGATTTCTGTTTGAGTGATGGCCATCATTGGATGGGTTGTGGCAGAAGATGGTGGGCAAACATAACTCCAGTGACTTGAACACCCTAGTGTGTGCCATGCTAAGCTCTTGGCCTGCTGGGCTGCCCACTGCATAAAGTTGTGATTAGTTGAATTTTAATTCAATCACACAACATGGCCTCAAAATTGGCACAGCCTTTAATATTATTCTTGGGTGTTGACCTATGTATCCCTCACTGGGAAAGACAGTCAAAGGGATGTGTGGTGAGCTTCAGTTTTCACTTCTTTGTATGGTAGTTATTATGGAGCTGTTACTACCTGCTAATCAGAAGCTCTTGTTCACCCTGAATCCAAGCAGCCTGGCTTCTAGTATTCTCTCCCATTCTGATTGCAAGAAATGAACAAGTTTCCAGATGATTTTTGTATGTTGACTGGGCTAAAAATTAACATGTTCATGAAGTTGAAGCTATTAGTGCTGCATTACGAATCTACCACTATTCCCAAGGACACGATGGCAACGTAGTTTGCACAAGTGTTTGCTTTTCATGTTATGCCACTGGTAAAACCATCAAACACTTGTGAGTGACTTTTCACCATTAGCTAGTGCGCTGGGCAGCATCCAGCTAGGCTGTGGGAAATCAGTTAGAGCTGGTCTGCTGTGCGGAATCTTATTGTATTTGTCTTTCGTCAGTTTACCTCTAGGAAGCCTGCTGACTGAGTGATGACGATGCTTCCAGGCTGGACTTGGACGTCCCAGAGTTCGGGGAGCTATTCAAAGAGCGGGCAGCTGCCCCGTTCTTTGTGTTCCAAGTATTCTGCGTGGCCCTGTGGTGTATGGATGAGTACTGGTGAGAAGGAGGCCTGTCAGCGCTACAGCGTCGGCTTTGTGTGGCGTATTCTTCATGCACTTTGGCTCAGCCAACCATTGTACATGTGCTGATACGTGTCTGCCAGTAAGCAGAATGCGCGCCCGCTGTCCCTTTGGTAACCTACGGGCTTCCTCCGGGCTGCCTCCGTTGTACTCTGAAATTGTTGCTTTCCCTTCCCTCGGACATTAGATATGAGACTTTCGCATTGCCACGTACGGCCTTGAACACGTCGTTTCCCTACGAAACTTGTGTGAACATCTATGGGCGTATTTTTGAGGCATTTGGACGGGTTGCTGGGTAAAAAGGCATTATTGGGGTGAGACAGCGTGCTGTCCGAGACGGCAGCTCGGTCTGGTTTCCGCACGGCCCGCGCGATCCGTCGAGACATCGTGGCTTTTCACTGTTTCAGGTACTACTCCATATTCACGCTGATGATGCTGGTGATGTTTGAGTGCACGCTGGTGCAGCAGCAGATGCGGAACATGTCCGAGATCAGAAACATGGGCAACAAACCGTACACCATACAGGTACGCCTTGACGGCCAGGCCACGCGCGGGATCATCTCCCGCGCATGCGGGACCCGTGTCTGACCTGCGGGCCAAAGAGGGAGCATGCCGCTGTCTGCTGTTGTTGGTTACCAAGTTTATACGTTTTCTGCATATAAATACCTATAAGGCAAGGAAATATCCCGGGCCGTTTATTTTCTGACATCGCAGACTGGCCGGAGGCCGGCCAGGGTTGACTGTTTGCGACAATGGTGCTGGCGTTGAACATGCAGTGTGTCCCCGAAATTGATGCGCGGTTGCTGCCACCTGTCATTTACCCTCTCCCGAAAACTGATTGAGTGCAATTTTGCCGCGTTCGGCTGCAGGGCATTCCGCCGTATCTGGCGATCACATGACCCTAGCGGCCGACCTGACTTCGGCCGGTAGGAGGCGGAAGAGGTCATTCCTTTCGAGATAGCCAACATGCTGAGTCCGCATATCGCCAATGGTGAAAGACCACAAACCATCGATCCGCTACCGCGCGGATTGGGATGGTCAAGGGTGGCTTGACCCAGGTTCAGGTCGCCAGGGACTTAGGTGTCAACGTAGCGGTGATTAGGCGCTAGCTGGCCTACGACCACTCGGGAGAGACGTTCGAAAGCCAGACAGGTCATGGGCGGGAGTTGACCTTGAACCGATTGACGAAGATCGTCATTACAAAGTCGGCCTTCGAAAGGCACCACTCGACGAGAACCTTGGCGAGAAAACTGACGACGGAGAAGCGCCCAGCCTCCAAGACGGCCATCCACCGGTATTTGAAGATCAGCCTGCAGCTGAAGCCGCTCAAGCTCAGGTTACATCCAAGGCTTGCCGTGGAACAGAAGCGCAGGCGGCTGGAATTCAGAACTCACTGTCAGAACGACCGGGTCTGGGCCAACAACAGCTCGGAGGTACCGTTCGTCGAGACAGTGAAGCAGCCGCTAAAGATTCTTGTCTGGGACATAATGAGCTACAGAGACCTCTTAGCTACGCCAAGTCCCGCGCGGGCAGACCGTCACCGCCGACTACTACGTCAGAGAGGTGCTGGAGAAGACTGCAGCCTCGGCGATGGAGCGGAGGAAGGAAAATAGCCCTCCAACCAAGGCGAAACTCCTGCCAGGCACGTCGAGGGCGATTTTCGAGCAGGACGGCGTTCCAGCTTGTTACGCCAGGAGGACCCAGGACTGGTGCCGCGCCAACTTAGGGGGCTTCTGGGAGAAGGGTACTTGGCCAGGCAACAGCCTCCACGTGTCGCCGATCGAGAATCTCGGGGCGATCGTCAGGGAGGAGCTCAGCAAGATGCTGCCGGCTACTTCACAGAAGACCCTGACCTTGCAAAAAAATGTGCAAGCGGCGGCAGAGGGTAGAGGCAGAGACTCTCGACAACCTGATAAGCGGCATGCCGGAGCGTATGCGGCAGTGTATGCGACCGTGGAGATTACATTAGCAAATGGGTCATGAACCGGTCCCAGTTATTCTCCCTGTTAGGGAGGATGATACAACCGCACATCAATTTCGGGACAGCCTGTAGTCAGCTTGGATAAGCATTTACTAACGCTGCCAAAGGTCCACTATCTCCAGTCACCACCGTCACTCGAGCATCCCTGGCGGAATCATATTTAGTACCGACTTCCGTGCTGTTTTGGCCGAACGTGTGCATCATCTCTGTTCACTACTCCAAATTTCCGTGTGGTCAACGCTCTGTGCATGCCCGTGGCACACTGCTTTCACAGCTGGGGGTGTCGTCATCTGCGTAACATTCATCCTGACGCTGTGTGCCCTACTTTCTTATCGTCTGACAGTGGAGTGTCTGTATGACACCTGTATTATTTCAGGCCTGCGGCCCATTCCAGCAGCTGGCGGGCGGCGCCCCTTGCTTATCTACTCGTCCGTGTTTGCTTTACTCTGTATCGACCAGCTTGATATCGATCCTTGCGCGCTGAACTCGGGGCTGGGTGTTGTCTTCCGCCCGCGGTTCAGGCCGGGCCGGGCGAGCGGTGGCGCCTCTACCAAATACTGCACACGCCGTCGTGGTTGGGAAAATGAAATGCGATTTCTTGAGGCTGCCGCGCCAGGAAGTCTGATAATGCTGGGATGCAATGTCCTGTTGCGTATCAGAAGGTTGGAAAATAAAGCTTTCGAACCACCATGACCTGAGCACTGTTCCGCGTTGAAAAACGGAGTATATGAGATGCCCAATGATATATAAGCAATGTTACAAATGCTTGCTCGGAGATTAGCGTATCGAGCGTGCCGAAGCTTTACGTCATCACACGCATCCGAAGAGTACACCGCCGGACAGATGTTTCATGTTGGGAATGAAAGCCCCTGTTCCCGGTGAATTCGACTCCTTAATTCTAGGACCAACTCCCGCATGGGCGCTGGAGTGCGGCTGTGCTGCGCATGTTCCCGCGCCGGCCGAGTCGCGGCTCAGTAGTTCGCCGCTCTGCCGCCAGGTGTACCGAGGCAAGCGGTGGCGTCCGCTGCCCTCTGACCAGCTGGTGCCGGGCGACATCGTGTCGGTGACGCGCTCCGAGCACGTGGTGCCCTGCGACCTGCTGCTGCTGCGCGGGCCCTGTATCGTCGACGAGAGCATGCTGACCGGTCAGTGCAGGCCGGGGCCGCCGTCCGCGCCACCGACACAGCCTGTGGTCCCGAATGACCGCTGTCGGTCGTGGTCCTGGACCGCCGACACAGTCGCCACCACAGGGGGTCCCCACCGCCGCCGGCCGGGAGGTCATGTGACGGTCACGTGGGATTCAGCGCTCCTGCATATGGACACTAATGTTTTACTTTTTTATGTGCTGAGTTTGGACCATGCACTGGCAGCAGGACTGCGACGCTGTGTCAGGTTGCTACGCTCCAATGCGATTTTTTCTCACAATTTTACACAATTGGACGGTTGTGAGGTGCACTACCCGGTGCAGCATCAACGTGCCAAGCCTCCGTTGCAGTGTGTTTGTGTAACGGAGACGGCTCTGATCACAGGCGAGTCGGTACCCCAAATGAAGGAGCCGGTGGAGGACTGTGAGCCCTCTCAGGAGCTGGACTTGGACACAGAGGGCAAGCTGCACGTGCTGTTCGGTGGGACCAAAGTCGTGCAGCATACGACGCCGCCCAAAACGACGTCCACGCTGCGAGGTAGATCCGCACGAGAAACCTGTTGCCTCATCTGTATTGCCTTTTGTACATCTTACTTGCTGTCAATGTGTAAGACCGCACAAACCGGCGACGGCGCGTTTTAGCGTCGTTGCCACTGTGGTCCACGTTAATTATTTGTTATTCATGGTTTATACCCACCCCCGTGATCTGGGTTTCCACAGGGTGTCTATTTGTATGTCACAGGCCCTATCCCTGTGCTTTAGTATAGGTCCGCACCATGGCAATCGCTCGCGCCGCTCATGCTGACCGCTCATGGTCTCCCTCCGCGTGCGGCAGCCTCGGACAACGGCTGTGTGGCGTACGTGCTGCGCACCGGCTTCTCGACGTCTCAGGGCAAGCTGCTGCGCACCATCATGTACGGCGTCAAACGCGTCACGGCCAACAACCTGGAGACGTTCGGCTTCATCCTCTTCCTGCTCGTGTTCGCGATCTCCGCCGCCTCCTACGTCTGGATCGAAGGTGGGGGTGGAGGTGGAGCGCTCGTCACCGCTCGGGAGCGCGCGCCAGTGCTCGTGTGCGGCCTGGGGCCTGCTGTGCTCGACGTGGGTCAGGCTTGGCCTGGCGATTGTAATTACCACACCTTGGTACACAGAAAAGTGATGTTTTGCAGTTGAGTACTTCATTTCGCAGCTTCTACCCTACAAACGCCTGTGCCCGATTTTGTGTTTGGTCTTCCTTTGTGAAGGCAAGCTGCGTCAAACAGGAGTCCGCTGTTCCGGTCGGATTTCCACAGCCAGCGAGTGGTTGGCACCTCCAGTAGCATAGCCGTCCACGTTGCCGTAGCGATCGTATTCGCGCACCGACGGCACCCTCCCTCGTTTGAGACTAACGGCCTCCTCTGTCGACACACAGGGACTAAGGACCCCAACCGCAACCGATACAAGCTGTTCCTGGAATGTACCCTGATCCTGACGTCCGTGGTGCCGCCCGAGCTGCCCATCGAGCTGTCCCTGGCCGTCAACAGCTCGCTCGTCTCGCTCATCAAGCTGTGTAAGACAGCCCTCAGATCTCCCTGCGCGGTTGGGCGGCGATGCAGGTCAAGCTGTGTAAGACAGCCGTCGGACCCCCCCCCCCCCCCTCCTGCGGGATGGACGGCGGCGCAGGGGTGGAGTGACCACTGCAAGGTGTGCAGTGGCACCACACCGTCTGGCCAAAGCCAGATCGATGTGCTGTTTCCCGAAGCGCCTGCAAAGGAGATGGGTGAAGTTCACCACATAATTCAAATATATTATTGTTTGTCAAAAAGCAGCTTAGGTGTGAGAAGTTGGAAACAGCTGTAATATGGGTTTTGAGCGCTTCGTCGCTCAACTGGTTGGCGGGTTTACTCAGCAATTATTTTGTTGATGTTGTTCTGCATCTGTTCAGCTGTTGTGCGTTCGTTCTCTTACTTTTTCGTTGTTTTTATGGTTTGTTTTCTCCAGGGTGTGCCTTGGCGCCATCGACGAGTCTTCTGCCTTTGGAGGCTATGATGTGGGCTCGCCGAACAGTATCGCTGTATATTTCATCAAGCCTTTGTTACGTGAAGGCGGGCCAGACGCCCTGTCCTGTGTTCTCTCTGCCCGTGTCGAGTCTCTGTCGCCTGCCGCTGTCTCTGGAGCTCTGTGCGCACATGCGGCCTCTGAACGCGTACTAACGTGCTGCAGACGTCTACTGCACGGAGCCGTTCCGTATACCGTTCGCCGGCAAGGTGGAGATCTGCTGCTTCGACAAGACGGGCACCCTCACCAGCGACAACCTGATCGTGGAGGGCGTGGCAGGACTCAGGTAGGAAGACTGCAACCTGGGCCTAAGCGACTACAGTAGTTGCGTTGGATGGGGCGACTTCTTTAAAAACTAGGATATGGGGATATCTACTAATTACAATGTTGTATCGTATAGGTGGAGTTGGGGTAGCTGGTAATGTGTAGACTGAGGTATTGTGTGATTCTTTGACCAAGTTTACCTGCTAGCTGGTTAGTATCACGAGCGCTTGATGGGCGTTGTGCCATCGTCTAGTACCACTCACGTGCGTTGCTTAGTGGAGGAGGAGGACTCCACAAGATGGGCCGTTTGCGGGGACATGTTTTTGTTCGAAGAATGGGACATTGACTGACGCTGCACGTAATGTGCCTAGCGGTAAACACCTGCTTAGGTATCGAGATACCGTTGTCGTTATGGAGAAACAAGGGAACTGGCTTTCGAATTCTGCCCCACAACTCTGGCCGGGAAACGCCGAGCAGTAATTTGGTAATATTACCCGAAGCGTGGGCCAAACGTCCCTCGCCAAGTGGCCGAGGGCCTGCGACATCAGATCGCGCCGCTGTGATGAGCGGTGCCCATGACTACGTCCTGGACCAGCGCGCGGTGGCTGAGCCTGGTGCATGCCGCAGGGACCGGCCGGAGATCTGCGAGATCAGCGACGCGCCGCCGGAGACGGTGCAGGTGCTGGCCTCGTGCCACTCGCTGGCCCAGCTGGAGGACGGCCTGGTGGGCGACCCGCTCGAGAAGGCCACGCTCACCGCCGTCGACTGGAATCTCACGCGAGGTACGCACGCACCTGACCGACGCGCGCGGCCGGGCAGCCGGTGCCGGCCGGCAGGAGCTGGTGTGCGCTTGAACGGAGGTGCGCATGCGCGGACGAGGTCCGAGCCGAGACGCGGGGTGTTTGGCACTGAGACGGTGCCGCGTACGTACTGTCGAGGCCCGGCCTGATCAGGGCCGCAGTCTGTCGAGGCCGGCCTGATCAGGGCCGCAGTCTGTCGAGGCCCGGCCTGATCAGGGCCGCAGTCTGTCGAGGCCCGGCCTGATCAGGGCCGCTGTCTGTCGAGGCCCGGCCCGATCAGGGCCACAGTCTGTCGAGGCCTGACCTGATCAGGGCCGCAGTCTGTCGAGGCCTGACCTGATCAGGGCCGCAGTCTGTCGAGGACCGACCTGATCAGGGCCGCAGTCTGTCGAGGACCGACCTGATCAGGGCCGCAGTCTGTCGAGGCCCGACCTGATCAGGGCCGCAGTCTGTCGAGGCCCGACCTGATCAGGGCCGCAGTCTGTCGAGGCCTGATCAGGGCCGCAGTCTGTCGAGGCCCGACCTGATCAGAGCCGCAGTCTGTCGAGGCCCGACCTGATCAGGGCCGCAGTCTGTCGAGGCCCGACCTGATCAGGGCCGCAGTCTGTCGAGGCCCGACCTGATCAGGGCCGCAGTCTGTCGAGGCCTGATCAGGGCCGCAGTCTGTCGAGGCCCGACCTGATCAGAGCCGCAGTCTGTCGAGGCCCGGCCTGATCAGGGCCGCAGTCTGTCGAGGCCCGACCTGATCAGGGCCGCAGTCTGTCGAGGCCCGACCTGATCAGGGCCGCAGTCTGTCGAGGCCCGACCTGATCAGGGCCGCAGTCTGTCGAGGCCCGGCCTGATCAGGGCCGCAGTCTGTCGAGGCCTGACCTGATCAGGGCCGCAGTCTGTCGAGGCCTGACCTGATCAGGGCCGCAGTCTGTCGAGGCCCGACCTGATCAGGGCCGCAGTCTGTCGAGGCCCGACCTGATCAGGGCTGCAGTCTGTCGAGGCCCGACCTGATCAGGGCCGCAGTCTGTCGAGGCCCGACCTGATCAGGGCTGCAGTCTGTCGAGGCCTGACCTGATCAGGGCCGCAGTCTGTCGAGGCCTGACCTGATCAGGGCCGCAGTCTGTCGAGGACCGACCTGATCAGGGCCGCAGTCTGTCGAGGCCCGACCTGATCAGGGCTGCAGTCTGTCGAGGCCCGACCTGATCAGGGCCGCAGTCTGTCGAGGCCCGACCTGATCAGGGCTGCAGTCTGTCGAGGCCTGACCTGATCAGGGCCGCAGTCTGTCGAGGCCCGGCCTGATCAGGGCCGCTGTCTGTCGAGGCCCGACCTGATCAGGGCCGCAGTCTGTCGAGGCCCGGTCTGATCAGGGCCGCAGTCTGTCGAGGCCCGGCCTGATCAGGGCCGCAGTCTGTCGAGGACCAGATACCGACGCTGAATATCGAGGCCTGTCGTGCTCTAAAGACTGGAGACACGTGTGAGCCGACCTCAGGTCGTCTACGTACTCAGTCACGTTTGTATGACTCGACGCGCGTTACTGAGTGTTACGCACGTCACGTAATCTTCATTTACCTGTTGTCTAACTCGAATAAGTGCCACCATTTTCGGAATTCGTTGCACCGCCGCGCGGCCTAACACTACGTATGCAAACCACGGGTGGACGACGCGGCGCCGCCATGGAGCATGCGCGGCGGTGAGGATAGGGTGCGTGCTCTGTGAGTGGGACGTCCGTCGCGCGCGGCCGACACGGTGCCCGCCCGCCGCCAGGGGACGCGGTCATACCGCGGAAGGGTAAGATGCCGGGCATGAAGATCTTCCACCGCTACCACTTCTCGTCGGCGCTCAAGCGCATGTCGGTGCTGGCGGGCTACACTGAGCCGGGCACGTCGGAGACGCACTACCTGGCCACCGTCAAGGGCGCGCCCGAGACGCTGAAGCCCATGGTAAGAGCAGACTCGGGGACGCTCTGAGGGAAGGGGGGGGGGGGGGGGGGCGCCAGGTTCAGGAACACTAGGAGCAACGGTAAACAGGCTCAGACATGAGCGGATGCGTGTTGCAAGACTCGATATATCGGAGTTAGTGTTAAGCGAGCAGCTCAAGGGCGTCAATAACCGTCGTTGGCAAGTTTTGAAATTGACGGCCGCGGTTTTCATACCGCGAACCCATTGACGATTGCTTTGCAGTTAAGGAAGAGCCATGTATAATGCTGCCACGCTGGTTGGAGGCAGCCTGGTGTCCCACTGGTACCCATCAGAACCCGTACTCGTAGTCTTCGATTAATGTGACGCTCCCTGCGGCCATCCGCGTTAGCCGAGCGCGCGTGCCCTGTGGGGCTTGAACGCGCCAGTTTCCTCGAGTTGAGTCTGCACTGGGTGCCGCCGGGCCCCGCGCCCCCATACCAGCGTCTGAGCTCGGCTGCCCCGCTCGCCAGTTCGTGGACGCGCCGGACGACTACGACGTCACCTACCTGAAGATGTCGCGGCGCGGCGCGCGCGTGCTGGCGCTGGGCCGCCGGGACCTGGGACGCCTCAGCCACCAGCAGGTGAAGGAGTTGACGCGGCAGGGCATCGAGGCCGAGCTGGAGTTTGCCGGCTTCGTGGTCATCTCGTGCCCGCTGAAGGCTGACTCGCGCGCCGTCATCAAGGAGATTCTGGCCTCGTCGCACCAGGTGAGCGGGCTGGCCGGACGGCGAAAACAGCGCAGAGCAGGGTGAGAGCAGGGCGCGGGCGAGTTTTCATAACGCTGTAGCCTTCGCTGGCGTGGTGTTGGTGCGTGACATGATACCAGTGCAAGTTTGCGGGCTTCTGCCGAGAGAGCGAGCGTGTGTGTGGGCGCGGGGTGTGGGGTCTGTGTATTCATAGGCGTGACTCGTTCCTGGGAACGAGACGTGTGCATCATGACCCCTAGTCTTCCTAGAAGCGCACGTCATGCCACTCGCCCTTCCCTCCGGTGAGAGGAGGTTCGAGTCGCGCTCGCGACTGAGCGGCGCCCGCCGCCGGCAGGTGGCCATGATCACCGGCGACAACCCGCTGACGGCGTGTCACGTGGCGCGCGAGCTGCGCTTCAGCGGCCCGGGCCGCACCATGCTCGTGCTCAGCCGACGCGGCGACACGTGGGGCTGGCTCAGCATCGACCAGACGGTCTGGCTGCCGCTCGAAGCCCAAGTCCTGGCGCGACATGCTAGCCAGCCACGACCTCTGCGTCACCGGCGAGGTGAGGCAGGGTCGCTGATGACGGCCATCACGGTGATGATGGCTATCATGCTGATGACGGCCATCACGCTGATGGTCTGATGGTGACCATCACGCTGATGACGGCCATCACGGTGATGACGGGTATCACGCTGATGATGGTCATCACGCTGATAACGGCCATCGGCGGCACGGTCGCCATCATCATCATCGTCAGCGTCATCGTCGCCAGATTATTGTCAGTAACATCCAACGTCGAGATTAGGAAGGATCCTGCAAAAGTTAGCGCGTAAAGCTAAACTGGCTGGTGGCTTCAACACACGACTGTGCTCGATTGACGCCGCCGGCCGCCGTCGAGCTCGCTCGCACAATCTGCGGCCACCGTCGTGACGGTGCCGTCGTGTGTCGGACAGGGCGTCAGCTTCCTGCAGCAGCGATCGGCGCAGCTGCTGCAGACGGTGCTGCCGCAGGTGCGCGTGTTCGCGCGCGTTGCGCCCAAGCAGAAGGAGCTGGTGATCACGACGCTGAAGCACCTGGGCTACACCACGCTCATGTGCGGCGACGGCACCAACGACGTCGGCGCCCTCAAGCACGCGCATGTTGGTGCGTGTCCAGCGGCGCGTGGGATGGGGGTAGGGGGAGGGGGCTTGTCGCTTACCGTCGGGAATGGCCGGCGGCGGCGCAAGCTCCTGCAGTGGGGGCGTCGGTCACAGGCCCACGCCGTCGGTGCATGTGGAAGGGTGTACACACGGTGCAGGTGAAGTCAGTGCCTCAATGATGCAACGACTTTGGGCTGTTTTGTGCGTGAAGGGTTTGTGGAGGGCTTGTTTTTGAGTGGTCTTGTCGCTGCCGTTGAAGTATTCTGTACATGTTCTTAAAGTTGCCAAGTTAAATGCACAATGTTGTTGTTGGCCGGACTGTTGCACTGCAGGTGCACGGGGGCTGACTGACGCCCTCAAATCGTCGTCGTTTTCCGCTCGCAGTGGGGGCGTTGTCGACAATCTGACCAGAACGCGACCCTGGTGCCTCGTCTCCGGCTGCCACTGTCCTTCGCCACCCATTTCGCTGATCGGTGGGCGCCCTCATCTCTTGCCATCACTCGTGGATGGTTGGCCACCTACACTGGGTACTGACCGCCGCTCCCTCGCGTGCAGGTGTGGCTATCCTGGCGAACGCGCCTGAGCGTCTGCCGACCAAAAAGAAGCGCGAGCCGGCGGCCGGGGCGGCGGAGGCGGCCTCGCCGCGAGACAAGCTGGACCAGCTGGTGGCGCGCGGCAAGCTGGGCCGACGCAACGACCGGGCCCGCCCCGACCGGCCGATCGGACCCAGACAGGTGGGAGGCCGGAGGCGCCGGGGACGGACGGCGACAGGCAGGCGGACAGCCCCGACAGGGGACCGGCTGGTGGATGGCCCCCGCTGTGACCGCTAAGAGAAACAATAACGGAACAGGCCTTAAGAAAACGAGAGTTTGACGTATTGTGCAAACACCCCATACGAGCCCCATTCTGTTCCACATACTGAACACTGGTGCAGTAATTCGCTTTTTGAACCGATGTGACCGCTCTGTGTTCAGGATCGGATCATCCAGCTTCAAAACATGTTGAAGGAGATGGAAGAGGAGGAGGGCGCGCAGGTGGTGAAGCTGGGCGACGCCTCTATCGCCGCGCCCTTCACCTCCAAACTGTCGTCAATCAACAGCGGTAAGGCGCGGCCAGACGTCACCTGTTCGTGGGAAAAACTCCCTGAGCAGCGCCTGCCGGTCCGTGGCAGCAGATGAATCGAACCGGTCCAGGCGTGGACGGTTCTCGTTGGTCTTTTTTTCCTGTTTCATTGCCGGAACATTTCTGTCCCAGTGACTGCACGTTGTCAGTGCACGCTGTCCGTCACAGCCCCCCCCCCCCCCCCCCGTATCCCAACTTTGGTCTCGCTGTCCTCGTGTCTAGGGCCGTCGTGTTCACAGTGTATCAATGCGCCGTCCTGGCTGGCGTCTGCCCCGGTCCGTTGTCTGCTCCCATGACTCGGCGTACCACCGATGTAACGCGGCGTGCTCTGCCTGTCTGTCCCGGCTGCAGTGTGCCACATCATCAAGCAGGGCCGCTGCACGCTCGTCACCACGCTGCAGATGTTCAAGATCCTGGCGCTCAACGCGCTTATCCTGGCGTTCTCCCAGTCGGTGCTCTATCTGGACGGCGTCAAGTTCTCCGACGGCCAGGCCACCCTGCAGGGCGTCCTTCTCGCCGGCAGCTTCCTCTTCATCTCGCGCTCGAAGGTAAGTCATCGAATCATTTCACACTTCGAGATGGATTTTCTGACCATCAAGCTCCGAGGTAGTTTCCGTCCCGTTATGTTCCCTTGCGTCATCCGTTGCCTGGACGTGTTGTGAAGATCACGCACCTCTCGCTGCGCCCCTGATGCTGCGTACGCTTAGGCGAGAACGTCACCACACTACACGCTCCGCGTATCTGATGACCAGACGAGGCAGCGGGATCTGAGACCCCCCTGCCCCGCCCTTCGCCGACAGCCACTCAAGGTGCTATCCAGGCAGCGGCCGTTGCCCAACATCTTCAACGTGTACACCATCCTGACGGTGCTGCTGCAGTTCGCCGTCCACTTCAGCTGCCTCGTCTTCCTCGTGTCCGAGGCCAAGGCGCGCATGCCCCAACGGTGCGTGGCGCGGCGGCGACGGGCGCCGCCAGACGCCACCTGGCGGCACAAGTCGTCGCCGTCTGTGTTTGTGTGACTACGAACGCGCTTTGGAAAACGGGAAGGCTCGCTGCCGACGTGCCTTGGCAGTGGGTCGCTTTGGAATGTGCCAGGCGTGATGGGGAGGGGGGGGGACATTTGGCACGTGACGGTACACCTGACCATGCCTGGCGGAGTCGCACGCTTCGTCGCATCGTTCCGGATCGACAAATAACGGGGCAAACTCGCGGTGCCATACGCTCAACGAATTCGTTTAGTTGGCGTCGCAGGACGACTGTGTGTGGCGAGAGCGCCGGGCCCCGTGTGACAATTCGCTGTTACACAGGGAGAGCGGGTTCGCAGACCTGGAGAAGGAGTTTGAGCCTAACATCCTGAACTCCACGGTCTACATCATCTCTATGACGCTGCAGGTGGCTACGTTCGCCATTAACTACAGGGTGAGTCTCTGTGCCCCCGGGCACCGCACATGCAGTCAAGCAGGCTGTAATCTGTTAAAATGCCGGCCAAAGTATGTAGTAGGAATGCGATTTTCTTGTATTTCATCGGTCACGTGCCAGGATTGTGTCTTGTGCGCTGGAGCAGTGAGCGTCGCGGGCGTACAGGTCATTCATGCAGACTGGCACTTTGGCATCTTATTTGTGATGTGCCCATGGCAAGGCAGTGCTGACTGCCGAACCCTTACATAGGCTTCATTCGACCCAGGTGCAGGGTTGTCTCGCCTCGCCTCGCTCGCTCATCTGCCAGCTCATCTGTCCGCTCCGTTGACTTCCGCACAACCGTCAGCTGTTTCTGGCTGGTGTGTGTCGTCGAGTAAACAATATCCAGCAGCGTGCTACTGCCGGCCAGCTGACTGGTCCGCGCCTGCCGTCCGCAGGGCCACCCGTTCATGGAGAGCCTGTCGGAGAACCGGCCACTGCTCTACAGCATCGTCGGCTCGCTGGTCGTCGTGTTCACGCTAGCGCTGGGCTTCATGCCCGATCTCAATCAGCAGTTCTCCGTCGTCGAGTTCCCGCAAGATGTGAGTGGGACAGGGACTGTGTGCGTGCGTCACGGACCGTCTGCTAGCCCTCCGCACTAGCCGCTGTGCGATATTGGCGTGCGTCTTGAGTATCTTTTTTGGCCGCTGTCTGTCGTCCTTCCACCCTGAGGCAGTCTGTTGTTTCGCGTCGCTATCGCATGTCTGCCCGCTGGGTGAGATTGGAGCTGGTGTGGACCGAGCGCTGCGCAGGGCTTTCCCTACCGGCTCTGTCATCACTCGTCGGATGCTTCGCGACCTTTCCAATTACCCCCCCCCCCCCCCTCCCCCTCGGAGGCAGACGAACGGGCTGGGGGAACAAAACCAGCGCGCTGCGCTGGAATGCTGAGGTGAGCGGGCGGTCGGCGGGAAGCGGGCAGGTTCGAGTGCCGTTGACGTCCCTCTCCCCCTTCGGCAGTTCCGCACGGTGCTGGTGCAGGTGCTGATGGCCGACATCGTGCTCTCCTACATCGTCGACCGGGCCGTGCGCTTTCTGTTCGGCGAGGCGCGGCTACGCAAGGAGCTGCGCGACCACTAGGACAATCGGCCGCACCAGCGCGCGGGGGCGGGCGCTGTCCGGCGCTGGCCCGTCCCCGCCCGCCGGTCCCGGTCCCGGTCCACGCCGGCGGGCCGGTCCCGTATCGTGTCACACGCGGCGCGGCGCCGCCGCATTGGTGTAGTCGTATGCTAACCGCCGACGGTGCGGGGAGCGTCGTGGGTGCGTGAGGCCCCGGTCGTCGGAATCGCGGTCAAGGCCGCGGCACAGCCCTCACCTGCCGCGCGCGCGCGCGCGCATGCCCCCACTCGCCTGTTCGTTTGTGGCGATGCTTAGCTTGCTGGAGGCGGGCCTGACGGCGCGGCGGTGGAACATTTTAGCACTGGTAATTGTTGTTCTCGCTCCCCTACCCTCGCAGAGCCTCGGCCGCAGTGGTGGTGACACCGCGGATTGGTCTTGCTCTGCGAGCGGTCGCGGATGCAGTGGTGGCAGTGGTGGAGTGACGTTGCATCGCTGTATGTGGATGTGGGCAATATATGCGCTACGAACGCCGCGTTATTTGTCAGTTGAGCGACGGCTGCAGCCTGAGCTGCCGCGGTGGGCGGAGGCCGCTGGTGCGGCTTTGTCTGGCGCCGATGTTCATGACGTATGCACATTTCGGGAAGCGGAATGATTGTTTTGACTCAGGGAAAGGTGCAGGTGCAGGGACCCAGGTGCAGGGAAAAACCGACTTGTTTGTGAAGTGCGCTTCACACAATCCCCCGCAGTACTGCATTCTAGGTAGCGATGTGTCGTCATGGGACTAAGTCATGGCACCAACACTAGGGCGGCGTGAAAACGCTGTTGTTTGCGGGCTGGTTGCAACGGAAATATTTCCATGAGCCGATTTTTTTCGACCTAGCACATTTGATGAAGCGCTTTGAGATGGGAAATGGCGTTGGTTTGCACCAAAGCTGCGAAATTATTGCTGAAATGTGCTTCCAGCCTGCCCCCGACAGAGACTGGGGTAACCCACTCACCAGTGATTTATCCCGAAGAACTATAGCCGGAAGCGCTTAGAAACAGCCAACATTATAGATCTGCAAGTTAACCAACAACTTCCATGATCACAGGAGAGCAACAGCGAAATTCTTAGAACCTGCCCTTCTCACATTCCCTTACTCTCACATTTCACTCCATTTAGACACTGCAGTAGGAAGGTATATGGACAATCATTGCCCATTGATGAATTTAATGTTTAACATCACATATAATTTCTATCTGTTTACATATGAATGCTCCTTTTACAAAAGCACATTACATATCAGTACTCAGGCGCGTTGGCCACGGGGATGTGACACGGATTCTGGAACTAAAATACGTTGTTTAGTAGGATATATTTTTGGGATTAGATCCTAGTATTAAGTTGTCTTTAGAAGGTTTAAAATGCAAACTTATTAGATCTATTCACATAACACTACAAAAAGACGTAGAACAGGGTGGTCAACCAGTTCATTGGCGAAATCTCCAATTTATAATAATGTAACTGATATCCACCAAGCCTTTCCAAAACCATACTGCGCGCTACCAAATCTTAGTTCCATGGTGACATCATGTTTGCCAAGCCTTTTACTTCAGTAGCCTTGCGCATCGCACAGGAGGATAAGCTGGCCCGTTACGTCATAAACGCGCGCTACACAAAGTCGTCGCAAATTACTCGGCATGGAGGTGCTCCAAAGAAGGTTCTGTAATATATGTATCTAAAATCATGGAAGTTAGAAGAAACGGTTTGTGTGCTAGGTTGAAACCCGGAGATCGATTGTTATGCTGGTGATCACGATATGCTTTGTAGGCATAACAGGTTTAGAGCTAGCTTCCTAGTGCGCTCCTGTTGGTGTTCCTGCATTTTTCTCGTGACTTTAACATTGAAGACCAATAGCCGCTGTCGATTTAGCTGTTGATTTCACGTACTAAGATTCGATCGATTATTTGCGGCCAAGGATAACGAGCAGCATTCTTTCAAGACCACTGCAGCGGTAACCATTCACATTCACGCCATGCGTAGAAGTCGAGTGCCGGTATTGCAATCCATGCCCGACGGCGTTCCTTTTCCGACCGGACACATTCCCATTCCAACGGTTTGGTACCCCCAATGCGTAATTCAGCGCTAAGGGGCATGGATGCAGTAGAATGAGCCGCATTGTGTGTGACGCCATCCGATGCAGCTGGTTTGACCTGACTGTGATAGACTGCGATGGTAAAGATGCCATCGGTCTCCCCGTGCATTGTCCCAGTATTCGTCCAAGGTTCAGGAAAATTGCTTTCCCAATCCCCAAATGGATGGATGGGATATGCATTGCGCCCGAGTGCTCGTTCTTGCCACGTGCGAAGGTGAGAACAAATGAAAAGCATGACAGTGAACACGTGAAACTGATTTCAGACCGTCACGTCTAGCTGGCGAAAGAAAGCCAGTTGAAAGACAAATGTTTTTTTAACATGTTCTCGCATGTTTATACAGATGTAAAATATCTGCAACAAATCATGGAAGGGGCTTATACATATCGCTGGCTGAAAAACAGCATTCGAACTGCGGGCATGCCTCACGGAAGGCGTTGCAATTCCAGAACAGGTAGCACCAGCCAGCGCTCGCTTTCCCACGCGAAAACGCCAAATCACAACCCCACTCGCGAAAAGTGCCCCAAGTGCTCTGGAATTCCCCACTCCCCTGAACAAACAGCCGTTACAGAAAGCGGGTCGTGGGTGTTCATGATACGATCGTGATCGCCGGCGCGGCGAACATTCCCTGGTCGGGTCAGATTACCGCCAGCCGGCGGTGGAGCCGACGCGTTGCGCCACTGGCGGTCGGGGTAGCGGTCTCGTGAGCCCCACCGACTGGAGCTCCACCGCCGCCCAACCGCCGGCGTCGTCGGCGCAGCGTGCGCGGCGGGAACACCGGCGGCACCGCGGCAGGCGGCTGAGGGAAGGCGGAGGCGTCTGCCGAACACGGCCACCGCTCCGGTCATGCGCCTAACGGCCAGAGGCGCGGTCACTGGTCACTGACCTGGCCGCCGGTCACTGACCCCAATGTGTTCCAATGGGCCACATATAGCCGGTTGGGTCATGTCTTGGGAGACGGGCCAGTGCGCGGCACACCCCTTCCATTCGCAGTGCAGAACAACGGTCAGTGACGTGTGCAGGTGCTGTCGCCATTTTGCGCCGGGCTAGGCTTCTTCTACAGCTCACCCGCTAGCTACGCCCATCATCTTGAGTAATGAGTCGGGATAATTTCAGCGAAGAAGACATACATGATGCAAAGCGTTATTCATGTCTATGAATTTAGTCAGCAGAGAAACGAACAACACGAATATTTTGACCGTGCAATTGTGTGACCAAAGTATCTAGAATAAAAGTACGCGTCCGACGTGGATTGCTTTCTTTGTTTTGTTTTACGTTTGTTGGCTTGTTAGCGTAAACTTACAAGAAACATATTCCAAGACCCTAATATTCTCGATTCGAACATTTCACAGCAATGACGTATTCTTCATTTCTTCACCTGGCTGGATTCACCTTTCAGCATGGTGTCATCGCTTGACCTCCCCAAGCTGAATCTCCTGGACTGCCACGTTTGGAATGCGCGGTCGGATGAAGTGTCCCGGTTTGACCATCAAAAGTTTCCTTTTCTGGACGGGCTGAAAAAGGCCACCCTCCCTGCTCCCTGCATGCGAAAATGTCTCTTAGTGCCGTAGCACCTTTCACATTCAGCATTAGAACACAGGAACCTCATTCGGTACCAAATTTGAAATGCACGGAAAAGTAGAATAAGCAGAGGTGAAAACAGTCGCTTGTCGACAGGGCTATCAAAATGGTCGCAATGTTTTTACTCGGAGCAAGTATTTGTTTCATCATCATGAACCTGTTTGTTATTTCACGTTTGCAGGGCTATATAATTTGGGCAGGACCAAATCCGCAACCAAATTGGATGCGCGACCAATTGGTGCGTGGTGACGAAACAAAAAAGCTTCGAAAGGCCCGACGATAAACGATGTGCTTTGCCACTTTATCAATTTCCCGTGCATTTCAGATCTTGTGCTAAATACGGTCCCTGTCCAAGATGCCTGCATGAAATGGACTGATAAGGAGCATTATCAATTAGTTGAGTCAGAAGTTGAAGCCTGGATGTTATGGCTCAAGCTGATGGCGTCACGTGGTCCAGTAAAAGCGCAAAGCTGTTTATATATATATATATATATATATATATATATATATATATATATATACATTCTATCACTATTCTCTGTAGCAAGTCCCTCCTCCCCCTCCCCACTGCTGAACCGCTTTTGTCCCTACTTTCTGGCTATAGCTCAACTCACTACTCTTTTTCACTCTCCTTCTCGGACTTATCCCCTTGTCTTCCTCTTCAACATCCTTCAGCAAGGCTTCCTCCTTTTTTCCTCATCGATGGCTCGACGTTTTCTCCTCTTTCTTGGTTACATCTCGATTCACTCCTTCTCTCGCCCGCCGACCATGCCGTAGCTCCTGCTTTTTTATCCTTATCTGTCCGAGCTCTGTCCTTCCGTTCTCATCTCCCTTCCCCGTCGGCGGCTTCATTACTAGCCTCTAATCGCAGCAATGAGGTCGCGTTCCGCCTTCCTCTCGGCCACGCCTCACCATCTGCCTGCCCCTCCCTCCCTGTGATTCGGCCGCGTCCCTCGCGGGCCACGCGTCACCGCCCGCCTGCCCCTCCCTCCCTGTGATTCGGCCGCGTCCCTCGCGGGCCACGCGTCACCGCCCGCCTGCCTCTCCCTCCCTGTGATTCGGCCGCGTCCCTCGCGGGCCACGCGTTACCGCCCGCCTGCCCCTCCCTCCCTGTGATTCGACCGCGTCCGTCGCGGGCCACGCGTCACCGCCCGCCTGCCTCTCCCTCCTTGTGGTTTGGCCGCCACTCCGCTTCAGCAGCGACGCGGTCGCGTTTGGTGGCTCTGACCTAGGTCACGGCTGCGTGCCGCTGGGGGGCCCTGTCATACCTATCTCTCCATCGCCACGCCGCGGCCGTCTGGGCGACCCTGTTGCGTCACCCCAAGGAGGCGCTCGGCAGCAGCGAGCAGTTCCGTAGCACAGGCCCAGGTGACAGTTATCGCGCGCTCTGACAGCGGCCGGGCTTCTTTTATTTCATTTTTCCGGGAACGAAGATCCGCGAGGCGCATGCATACTTATGGTAAAGATACGGTAACGCAAAACTTGCAGAAAAACGACAGATGTGTGAAAAACGGACGAGCCTTTGGGATGCAAATACCAGTAAGCAATCGGCAGGGGAGACTAGCGGCCAAACCACAGAGAACACCTTGCTTCTCTTTTTCGAAATCAATCTAGTAACGGGACTTGTCAAGCTGCCGCTGCTCCCTCTCAAAGCGACAGCGTTATGCTCATCGTAACCAGCATTACCTGCTCGTAACATCTCGGAGTTGCCCCACGTAATGGTCTGTTCGTATGGCCATTTTTAAGCCAATAAGACGCACCAACAGATGCAGTCAAAATACAGATGACGTCATGGGAAAAATCGTGATCTGAAATCTATACCC